ACCCATTATTGTTCCACTAAATTATCCTAGTGTCAAAATATTATCCCACTTTACAATTATCCCAGTTCTACTTAAAAAGTTCTAGGTGACTAACCCCCCCTTAGTCAATCCTTAATTAGTTCTTACTCTAGTTGTTACTCTATCATGTATATCTTTAATCACATCAATATATACACTATATGCATGTTTGTTTAAGACCCACCACATTACCTCTCTAGACACTATCACATATTTTTAATACATCTCTAATATAACCTGAATGTCATTATTGGTATGTTTTCAAAACTGTATTGTTGAAATAAATATGAAGAGTGTGATATCGTGACTTCTAGTGTGTGTACTGAATTACAGATGATACAATATAATATCAGACATCTCGATCACACCTAGCGTCTCCTAGACAGATCGATTCATCCTACATATATCACGTGTACATACTATATATTACCGTATATGAGTCTATAGAGTACCTATACTACGCGCCTATATCATCATATATATATTCCTATCTAACCTACCCCTCCCCCCCCTACCCCCCTACCCCCCCTACCCCTACACCTTACTAATCCCACCCTTCCCGGATGCTTCCCCCCCCCCACATCCGTCTATTTGCCATTGATTTCTTAGGCTAGAGAGACTAACACAAATATTCATCAGGTTATACATGCTTCGGTATCGTTATAGACTAGAACGTTTAGCATTTGACTATGACATCATACGGGTAGTAAGGGGGACATAAGAGTCTTCCACTCTTTGTTGCTGGTATAGTATGGTGGTGGTTGCAGGAGTTCAAGAATCATTGCTCAGAGCACGAAATCAGATGGCTAAAGACCATACCACGCACAGCTACAACAAAATGGAGTCGTTGAAAGGATGAACATGATTATTATGAAGCGCTTGATAACAATATTCTAAAACAGGTATGGACAATCAATTATTCGTGTTTACAGACATTTGAATGCAGGGCTATGCCTTCATTGATAAGAAGAAGAGGAGCAAGCTAGACTCCAAATTTCAGAAGTGTATTTTTTTTGGGTACAGAGGATATGAGTTCAGCTATAAGCCTATAAGCTTTGGGACTGTCACAATAATAAGGTGATTGATGATGAAGAACACATGTACAAATATAGGCTAGACTGAACCAAGAAGGTGGAAAGCCTAGAATTTGTAGAGTTCGAGGCTATCACAGGTGGAAATAATGAGGCTAGACTCGAAAACGAGGAGGTTGAAAGCAAAAGTGAATCAGAGGATCATGCACAAGCATCAGTTCCAGAGGAACCTGTAACTCTACAATCGAGGAGATTGCCATGTATTACCAGAGCACACATATGTATTCTCCAGTAGAGGATCATATCTTATATATAGATTATGGTGAGCCTAAGACCTGTAATGAAGCATTGCAAAATGAGATAAAAGCAGCAGGATTTAGTCATGGAGAACGAGATGGATTCCTGAAGTAAAAATATGGGAGTTCATCAAACTACCTACAGGAAGGAAGGAGCTATACAACTAGTGGACCTACAAGATGAAGGATGAAGCTAACGGAAATAAGTAAAAGGTGAGACTTGTGGAGTACCTACAGGAAGGAAGATATTGATTTCAAGAAAATATTTTCTCCGATGGTCAAGATGACTTCGAGTATTGAGCATGGTGGCATTAATGATCTTAAATCTAGAATAGTTAAATGTGAAGATGACGTTTCTCTATGAGAATTCAGAGGAGATCTACATACACTAGTTAGTGACATTTAAAATCAAGTGGATAGAAAAAATAGGATGCAAATTGAAGAAGAGCTTGTACAGACTCAAGCAAGTACCACGGAATAGTACCTTAAGTTTGACAGTTTCATTATGAGATAGAGTTAACTACGTATAAGGTTGAACATTTGTATGTATTTCAAAGGTATGATGAGAAAATTTATGTATATTATGTCTATATGTTGATGATATGAAAAGAATTATTGATCTCAAGAAGATGATGACAAAGAGATTCTCTATGAAAGAATTGGGAGAAGCAAAATATATTCTTGGCATGAACATTAAGAGATCGTAAGTTGAAGAAGTTATAGCTATCTCGGGAAGACTACATCAAGAAGGTGCTAAAGAGGTTCGGCATGAAGTAGGGAAAATCAGTCAACACTACTTCAGCACCACACTTCAAACTTGGTGGTAAGTACCATCAGACATCTCAAGAGCAGGGGGATGATATGACAAGTATATCATATGACTCCACAGTAGGAGTTAGATGCATGAGATGGTTAGCACGAGACCGGACATTGCACATGAGGTAGGAGTTGTGAACAGACACATGCACAATCCAGAGAAAGAGCATTACAATGCAGTCAAATTAATCTTTAGATACCATCGGGTGACATCCACTTATTGCTTATGTTTTGGTGAAGGCACACACTAGATGTGGGGATATGTTAGATGTGAATCATGCCAGTTATTAAGACAGTGGGAGAAGCATGAAGAGTTATGCTTTCATGGAAGAGGGAACAATGACTAACTGAATTTCTTAGCTACAGAATATTGTTACGATGTCAAAAACAGAAGCAAAGTATGTAGGTTGGCTACAAAGGAGCTGATATGATTGCAGGGATTGCTTGAAGAGTTAGGAAAGAAGCAATATTATAGAATTCTATAGAACGGTATTTACAGTGGAAATTCATCTGACGAAGAATGCAGCATAACAATCAAGGATGACAGCACATTAAAGCTTGGTTTGATAAGAGGGAAGGTAGGGTGAGCTGAGCAACAAAACAAAAAAATCCTCTTTGGTAAGGGAATTTTAGAGGGGTAGATGAGATGAGGTTAGGTAGGGTGAGGTGAGGCATAGTGAGAGAAAGTGCAAAATAAATGAAAAGTGTAGAGGAGAACATCCCTCCAATTTGGAGGAATACATGAGGGGAGAGGAGATTTATTCTATTTTTATAATTATCCAATTGTCTATCCTTATCAAAATAAAATGTATTTTTTAACTAACTCATCACTTCACTTTCCCTTCCCATCACCTCAACCACACAAGAAAAGATCATGTATTTTCCCCCAACTCCTCCAACCAAAGAAGAAGCATCAAATATATGTCCTTCCTTACAGCTTATCTCACCTCACCCCACTCCTCGTACCCCCAATTGAACCAAGCATAAGGTGTTGTCCAACTTCGTATAAGGTGAGGTTAGCTGGGGAGAGATGGGATGTAGTGAGAGAACATACAAAATGAATGAAAAGTGCAGAGGGAAACATCGCTCCAATTTGGAGGAATACATGAGGGGAGAAGAGATTTATTCTATGTTTTATAATTATCCAATTGCCTATCCTCATCAAAACAAAAGGTATTTTTTAACTTAACTCGTCACTTCACTTTCCCTTTTCATCCCCTCAACCACAGAAGAAAAAAAATCATGTATCTCCCACCCCACCAACCAAACAAGAATCACAAAATGTATGTCCTTCCTTGCGGCTTATCTCACCTCGCCTCACCACCACTCCTCGTACTCCCTATCAAACCAAGCATAAGGTGTGATACAACTTCATGTGAATGTCTTTGGATGAAGGACAGTTGAAAATACACAATATCAAGAAATAAGAACCTGGCGAATACGATCACCGAGGTTGTAGACAGAGAAAAGTTCAATTTCTATTGCATGTTGATGAATCTCTCCAAAAGTCGACCTTGACAAAGAGCAAGCAGAGCGGAATTATGAAGAGTTGGTTACTATCAGGTATCAAGTCAGAAGAATCTCCAAGTGAGAGATTATCATTAACAAGTGAAGATCCTTCCAAAGACGTGTGTTTGTTTTTTAGATCAGAAACAGATGCGATGATGAGCGACAATAGTTTAAGCCGTCGAACTGCCCCAAACTACTTCTCAAACCGCTAAGCAGTAGGACCACCCAATGTACCAACTGATGGTTTAGGGCAGTCACACCACAATGCACCATTCAACCAGATTTTTCTATTTTGAAATCCTAATTTTGTTAGGAGTTCTATTATTTTTTCGATTTATTGTGAACAGTATTTATATAGGGGTTTCCTGAAGTCCTAGGGTTTAAAATAGATGGAAAAGAGAGAAAAATGCTAAAGTAACAAAGAGAGATATTTGTAGCTTTTGTTATAGAATTTAGAAAGAAAGCACCTATGGTTTCTCGTGCAGAGAAGAAAAGCTATAAACAGATCGAGATTGTAATTGCTTGATAAGGACCAAGGTCATAGTGGATATTCATAGACTCTGCTCTTCTAAGAACATAGCCCTAACTTTGGGTGAACCTCATAAAATTCTCACGACTCCGGATTGATTTCATGTTCTATTTTCTACCTATCTTTATTATTTATTATCATATATTGCAATCTGAGTAGTTTGGTCAATAGCACAGGGTCTCAATCCTAACACACAATCCTCCTAAACCAAACTCAGTACCTGTGAGTAGTCCATGGACAATGTTTTATCTTTATATCTAGAAATTTAAACTACAAAGTTTTCTCACCCTGCATCCAAGATAAAAGGGAAGAACCAGATCATTAGATGGTTGTTTTCCTTTTATCATGAGGCGACTAGGTTAATCATGGGGTTCGTATGAAGTTAAAACGTTGAAATTCTTCAAAGCATAGGCAAGACTTATCTTATTGGCTTCTCATATACTTAATGCAAATATGCTAAGGAACTGAGGTTGTTCTGGGTTTTTTCTTTTTTTTTTTTTTTTTTTTTTTTTTTTTTTTTGGTTTTTTTTTTTTTTTTTTTTCTTTTTTCTTTTTTTTTTTTGGTGGGGGCAGAGGGGTAAGGGTATACAAAGAGAGAAGCAGGGTAGGTGAGAGGGAGATGTATAACATTCTTGCATGAACTCACACGTTAAAAAGGCATATACTTCACACTTTAATTAGGAGAAACGTAGAACATTATTTGATCAATTGCATAGCCATGGTAGCATACTTCAAACGTTTATGAGATGAATATTAAACTTTCTGGTATAATGAACTATAAGCATAAGAAAGTCATTTTACCTTGTACAAGTTAAGGGCACCTCATCTTTTTGGCACATATCTTCTGCCGGTACTGGGTAATGTAGATATGGACAATCCGGGTTCTTACATGGCTGTCACAAATAACAATGTAGTCAACAAGATACTAATGGATCCTTGCGTTTATGCATACAATTCAAATAAATATATGATAAACAATACAAACAGGCATGACTGACCTTCTTCTGCAACCATGCATAACAGTGTCTTGAAGTACCATGACATGCCCTACATGGAAAGGTTCAAATGAAAGAAATGAAATCGAACTACAGTGGTATATTAAATTACAAAAAATATGATGAGGTACAACTTACTTCAAAGGGCTATCGTTTAAGATGAAGCCGTTTACAAGTTGAATGCAACGTACGGCTTCTTCCTCATTTGAATATGTAACATATCTGGATGATAATTCACTAATATTTTTATTAACACACAACAGATGACAGTGCAAATATGTGTGTTTTCTGACATATTTACTATTGTACATCATTCGGAAGTAATTCTTGAACCGAAAATCAATTGCACAAATAAGAAATTACTTCAGTACATTCAGCAGAAGAACTGAAAAAAAAAACAGAAATCTGAGAGCAGCAATACTCGCAGCTGTGATTATGTAACAGTTAGAACAGTGGTTAGCTTAAAGCTTCTAGATGTTTGTTGGGCTTTTCTGGAGTAAACAAGCTCCAACTAGAAGCAGATTAAGCAAAAGCAACTTAATTGGATCATGGTTACTGTATTTATCTCATAATTGAACATTCATACCTATGTTTTTACTCACTTGGATGACCTGTCATGTAATTAAATATTAATAGGATTATTAGCCACTTCTAACACTTTCCATCAATTTGAGTTGTATATTTTCATTTATGTTTAAGCAATACAGCTTACCCAATATGTCCGGAGTTAATACTTTCAAGAACAAAATGCCAAATGAAATATAATTACTCAATACAAGTTGCCTGATAGATCACAAACTTCATTTTCGTAAGTGATCAGGGTATTATGCATAGGAATAAATCCGTTATATAAAATGATCAATATTTTTTATATCACGTCAGCGAAAACTCATTATGTTAATTGGCGGGAAACATTACAAGTGACTAATGATCCGAATAATATTTAATAACATGATTAGCCATCCAAGCAATTAAAACATAGGTATGAGCATCCAATTATGAGATAAATACAGTGATTAGTGATCTAATTAACCTAGCAAAAGCATATCGTCTTTTCATTAGAATCTTATTTGTATTATTTATCTTGTGGGTCCAAGGTTTCATAGAGGATTCTAGTTGTTTGGATTGATTCTTCTGTGAAAGCAAGTAACAGATGCATGCCATTTGTAATCTAAACATAGTACAAACAGGCTATCACAAGCATACTGTCACAAGCAGCGGAAGCAGGTAACAGATGCACCCATTTATAATCCAAACATGCAAGGAAGATCAGTTTTCTGTCTTCTAGTACCAATATCTTAGCTAGCAACTACATACAATAAACATGAAACAGAAAATGGTACAAAATTCAACAAGTTTACAATCCAAACATGCTTGGAAGATTAGACTATGAATCTGCTGGTATCAAAATCTTAAGAAGTACTTGTATCAAGCATGAAATAGAAAACAGTGGAAAATGCAAAAGATGTCCAAGAAGCCAATACGAAGTTGGATTTTCTAAAAGTATATTTCCTTTTGTGTTGATGATTGAATACCATGATCTTGTTTATTTTCATTTGAGATCAAATTAGTATAACGGGACAAAAAGATATTAATGAGCCTTAGGCCCAAAGCCCATAACAACCTCTCCTTTTCGGATAATGTTTTTTTATTTCTCCCTCATATGTATGGATATGTGAACCATCATGATGACTTCCAAGAGAGTTAGACAGCCACAAGGACCTAGAGATTCCTTGTAATATGGAGCATAAAAATTAGAAGAGAAGAATTGAAATGTTAAAGGTATGATGTAATAACCAAGGAATGTAGACAATTGGAGACAGACAAGCATTTAATCACGAATATGCAAGGAAAAGGTCGGCAATTCAGCTCAGATTTAATGAAGATGGAATAATATGAATTGTAGGATAAGGAAAAAAAGTTTTAATGAAAAAAATGAGGCCCAGAATCAGGACTAAAAAAGTAAATTTGAAGTTTTAATCAAGTTCAGTTTTATCACTTGTACTGTTATTTATTAAACATTTTCTCTATCAAATTAAGACTTAGCATATATCCATATTCAAGTCTGTGAAGCCTTATCTACTGTTGTCCAGGACTTTTAGACACAAGAAGCAAAGATAATTTATATCCACCAGATAAGTGCATTCATAAGTGGTCCTCCAATTTTATAATCAACCAGAGATTCTAGAAAGAGTGGATGCATAATGACAAGAGAGAAGAACTTACATAACAGAAGACTTTTTAAAGTAAGGGGAACCGGGTTTGGTAGGTTTAATATAAATCTTCAAGACCTTGCCATACTGCCCAAAGAATTCTCTCTTCCGAAGAGTCTGCAAAAGAACATGTACACATGATCTTTAAATGTGTCTATAGTCTTCCCTTTATGATGATTTTTTTGCTGCAAACGCGAAACTAACTGAAGAATCTTCTCTACCCAGAGGTCAGAAAAGAAAGCATACAAGTAGCATAAAAGCTCACAAAAAATGTACAGTTATTTCAAAAATCAGTCAGCGTGGAATGAGCATACCTCTTCATTAGATAAATTCACAGGTATACCAGTGATATACACCAGATTTCGTTGAACCACGCGGATTTTATGAGGATCATATCTCATTTCAGAAGTATTAGATTTGGCCCTTTGAATCTTTTCCTTCTCCTTGCAACTTATCTCTGCCAGCCTTCAAAGTCAACTTTTAATTAACCTTAACAATCTCATATACACACACAATGATATTCCACCACGTTTTCTTCATAACAATGAATGTGTATGAGCTAAATCCAGTAAGATTGTTTTAAACAATGCATCACATTAGAAAATGAACATACCAGACACTGCTAATTGTCATTCTTTTAATACGTTCCTTGTCATAGGGATTTCGGCATGCGGGACACAACACTGCGTCCTTTTCAGCTTCTTCGACCAAGTGATTCCAGCACCAAACGCACATCTGTAAGATGGAATAAAGCCAATATAGTAAGCTGATTGAAGATCAAAGTTTTCCACTTGTATTAACATGAAAATCAGGACACAAAATGCAAAGAGACACTGAATATGTTTAAATGTAAAATTGAGAAAGAAATACAATGAATAGCCGGAAAGTTATATGTATCATTGGATGTGCCTACAGGTGTCACCAGAACTTTTATAACTTTTTTATTTGAAATAATTTGTTATTGAGGATCTAGGCTTTCGACCCTTGCTTTCAATTATTTCTACAATACGAACAGTCTCTTTATGCAGCAAATGAACAGCAAGTATCTGATCAATTAGCAGAAGATGCTTGATGAATTTCAAATGTTGTGGGTAATGTTGAATGCTGATCACATGTATTTGATGGTGTTTAATTACCCCTAAACATGTATATGAAGTCACAAGAATATATGAATAAAGAATGGCGAGAAGAAGGGCTCATGAAATGATTGAACAACAGCAGCAAAACATTTCAGCTGGCTGGTTCTGAAATCAGCATGCTGAAAACATGCACAGGCGGCTGCAATTTGCATCTGCAGGCTGAAAACATGCACATGGAGGTTGAATAATTACTGGGACAATAACTTTTGACTTGGTTATTGGAATTGGTATTATTATATGTTTTCAGAAAGCTCTCGACGTGCTCTACAAGTTGATACTGATGTTCACATGCGATTTGAACGTCAGTCAGCTGAAATCCTCTGGCAGACGGCTGAAAGTGTCAAGATAGAAGATAGTGTTCTCAAAAAAATTCACAGAGCCGGCTGGACTCTAGAGCAGGCGGCTGAACAATTACCAGCCAACTGGCCGAAATTTTCAGCCAGGTCGACACGTTTTGGCAGATTCTCTTTGATTTGTGAGATGTAATCTCAAGTTCTCAACCGTTTGTTTGTATTTCTTTATAAGGACTTTGACGATTATTTTCCCAATTAGAAGAGGAGTCAAATTGCGTAGATTATATATGGAGTTCGAGAGAGAAGATTAGAGGAGCTAGGTTTTTCATTGGAGTTTTTCTTAGAGCTTTTGTTTGTTCTCTTTGCATTTTGAAGACAATGTTCATGCTACAACTAACAGGGATCTTCGCAGCAACATCAGCATTATATTTAAAAGATCTACTCAGTAGTTAGGAACGTATTTTCATCTTAAAAAAATTTCAATTTAAATTGTAAACCCATAGGTTAATTCTTAGTCTTAGGATAGATTGAGCGTTGAGTGTATCTGAGCGTTGTGTTGGCTATACTTCTTGGTGAGATCGGATAGGATCAGGTGTAAAAGCTTTGACAAACTTGGAAGGTCGGTACTTTCTCAAATAGTGTATTGATTTCATTGGGGTGAAGCCCATGGATGTAGGTTTCATGCTAAACCACGAAAAAAAATTGTGCTTGCGTTTGATTGCTTGCTTGGTTATTTACTTCCACTTATTTAGCTACATAAGTTTTTTAAAATAACCTTGTTTTCGATGCAACCCTTATTAACCCCTCCCCCTCTAGGGTATCCTAACTAGATCCTAACAGATAAGGCTTCAGGGAGTGTGAAATCTTACAGACAAAAGAAAAACAGGATATCTTTGAATCTATTATGTTTCCGCCCATTAGATGGAAACTCTCTTCTGGAAACATTAATTACAATAATTCATTATTCCACTCTTTGATTCTATTGTGGTTCCGCATTATAAGATCTAGATAAACATAAAGTTTAATCCAACATGTAAGTTATGGCCTTCTTAACTAATTTCTTAATATCTAAATTCTAACATTCCTTTTTCTATTTGTAGCTAGCTGTTATAAAATATTACACCAGCTTTTATTTGGTAAGTATTTTTATTGATTTCTAAATTTGTCGTTTTTTAAATATTTAATGTTGATTACGATAGTGAAAGAAGTTCTATGATTTATTTTAATGGTTATTTTCTATTCAATTTCTTGGGTAATTTTCCAGCTAGGGGTACTATTATGTAGTTATTAATTTCATATTTAGCATTGCTCATTTAGTGGGCCTTTTTTTCCTAAGGGTGTCCCTATTAGTATTTATGCATTAATGCATTTAATGGATTTAATCGGTAAAAATCGCTTTCAATTTCTTGTTGCTTGTATTGCTTCTTTCCTTTCAAGAAGCTAGTCGTTCTGTCATTTTTATGTTAAAATTGCATTAACATGACAGATATCTGGGATTTGCAATGCTATCTTTCTTAACTCATTGTTTAAGTTTCCTTGCCAAAATTTTCCTTTATTTTTGCAACAATTTATTTAAAATAATGACAATAATTTTTGCTTGTCAAATTTCTGAATATCTATTTAATTGAAACACATAAAAATAAAAACATATTGAAAATGATGAAATGAAATATTTATATTAAAATCCTATGTGCCAGTTTGATTTCATTCAACTGAAAACTTTAAAGCATTACTGAATTTTTATTTTAGATGGCAAAGTAATTATACTCATGTCTGCAGACATTAATGAAATTTTGTGGTATCCTCAATGCGTAAGAAGGCAGTGCCCATAATCAAAGGACAATACAGAGGAACAATAAGCATAAATTCGGGTGCATAAATTTAAAAGAATGAGAGATATACTGCTTTGGAATCTAATGAGGCATGGTTATACTAATATCTTTCCTCCTTTGTTCTTTTTCCTGGGTTGGGTTGAAGCATATATGTATGCGTAGTTTGTACAGAACAAGGTGCAATAGCGAAGGATGAAGGAGAAAGATCTATATCCCTCACCTGATACCCACATTTACAAGGTTTAAACTGTTGATCAGTCAAATCCATTGCCTCCGTGCAGAGGGGGCAGTTCACTTCCCTTCGATTGCTCATACTTCTTCTGAAATCAATGAAATGATAAATTTACATGGAAAATCTTATAAATAACACTATAAAATTAAGTTTAAAGTATTTATATAAAACCTTCCCAACTGGTTCCACTTAATACCAGCAATAATGATTAGGTAAGAAAGTTATTAATAAGTAAAAAAAGAAAAAGCCATATAGAAAACTAGCCAAAAGATAGAAAGTACAATCATTGAGATGCTTGTGTGAACGTAACTGTATGTATGTATGGACATGTGTGTATGTATTTATGCATGCATGCATGTGTATGCATGTGTAACAGTAATCTGTGTCACACCAACATTGTTCTAAAGCATTATAATTTTCCTAGACATTTTATGTCCTCCATTACGAGAGAGATAACGGTAAATGAAGACGGACGAGTAAAGTGTGAATATGAACTTGGCAGGATACCGATTAATCCCTTAGCCACTGAAAATCCCTTAAATGAGCACAGAAATGCAGGTAGTTCCGGGCTTTCTCTGTTTCAGGATGAACTTCCTCAAGTATGTACAATTATTCACTTTGGGCGGATCCTAATGTAAGATAAATTCTGAAAAAGTCAGAAGTAATTAGCCTAGAGGAAGACAAAACTATAGGTCATACGCATAGAACTAAAAGAAGAAATCACCAAGAGCACTATGTTGTAAGCTCAGAAAATAAATGGTATAGAGCAGACTGACAGCCATATTGATAAGTCAAGGTACAAATTACATGGTCAGTTATAAATAGTTGAAAAAAGGACTTGAGATCCTGGTCATGGTTTCCTTGAATGGTACAGGAGCCTTCACCAATAAATATACTTTAGGATGAACCCAAGAGAGTCTAAACTCTAAAGTATCAACCATTGCGGTAATTGAATAAATATCAGATATATATGCAGTGTCAATATCTACATCGGTCAAGATTGTGCGACTCCATATAAGGCGAAGGAAAATTAAATTATCATTTCCCTTAAACCAGATTAATGAGCCCTGGACATTCAAAGACAGGAGACATCCTGTATTAGATCTGATGCATAAGTATTTCAAGATCATATTTATAGTCACGATAATGCTTTTATCTTAACGGAGAGGAATTTAAACAGAGAAAGGTGCTGCTTCATCTTTTAATTTAAGATTCACTAGAAATTGCAGGTGCAAATTTCTCATATAGTTTCTTATGTATCTGATGTAGTATCCCACCAACTGTAATAAATGTTGTATCTGTATATACAATCATGTAACCATGCCCATATCCATATCCATACTTCATATAAGATCAAATAGCTTGCTTTTGAAGATACTCACTTAATTAGTACACTAAGGAATGCAACTAAAGCACCAAACTGTCAAACCCCTTTATTAGTAATTAGTCTATCATCGATAGGTCAAATTTGCATGTAAAGTTCATTCTATCCTAGAGAATAACTTTTTTTCTACTAGTCCATTCACATCGATAGAAGTGAATCGTCCTTCACTGAATATCGGTATCCTCTATATATATTACCTAGCTATTAAAATTTACAGATTTGATAACCAAAACTTGGTTAAATCAATTTCAGAATTGAGATGGTGTTTTTCACGTGCTTGACATTCGGGACGCATTCTATACACGTGTCGAGGAGCCTCTTCTGTTCATTACGTACATGAATAAAGAGTTTAAAATATTGCATCTCCAAACCCGAAAAGTGTGTTTTGTCGTGATCGCATTATATATAAACCTTTTGGAATACACGTATCGTGCATGCACGGAGCCGTGCAAATGTGCATGCATGCACGTAGACTCTCCCATGTGAAAGGAACCATGATCAGCTCATTCTCTCGACTTAAATCTTCTCAGTTCATCTTATTATCCAAGGCAGATCATTATAGCAAAGTTGCCCGGTTCCTTTCCCGCTTTTTTTCCTTTCTCTACCTTCTCGCCCAAATCACCGATCAACTTCAATTAGGTCTCACCTCAAAACAAATCAGCTCAAAATTCACCGCAGGATTTAGCTAAACACTCACCATCAGTGATCAACGACTCTACACAGCTACTAAACAAACACAGTCCTCCACATGCAGTTAAGATTACAAAAAGAAAAAGGAAAAAGACACCAATTATAACAACTTGCCGCATGATTTAATCAAAACGTTCACCATCAGAGATCAAAATCTATACACAGCCGCTGAACAAACATAATCCTCCGAAATGCATTAAAGATTAACATAACTAGTAAATAAAAACATACCAGCAATCAAACTTTGCCACATGATTCAGTTAAAATTTTACCAAAATTTATCGATGGAAGAATTCATCATCAATGAACAAAAATCCAAAATTGAACACCGAAACAAGCATGATCCTCACATGAATTAAATATATACCATTAAAAAGAAAAATGAAACAACAATCAAAACTTGCCACATGATCCAGTTAAAAATCTACCAAAATTTCCTTTTAAAAAATTTACCATCAGTGATCAAAATCTACCAAACCACTAAACAAATAAAGACAGCTCCTTTGATTTAAAAAAAAAAACCAGGTCATTTCCCAACAAGTAATGGCTCTAACTAAACCCTAAACCTCCTAAAACCACAGCCAAAGCAATCACGAGACAGAACAATCAATGACCATCACACACCCAAAAACAAAAACCTAGGATCAACCAAAAAGAAACAAGCTGATGAATTCAAAGTAGGAGATGAACATTACTCACATTGGATCGCCAATGCTGAGCTAATCAAGGCCTCTCTCTTTCGAGAGAGAAGAGAAGAGGAAATGTTTAGATCTCTAGAGAGAGAGAGAGAGAGAGAGAGAGGAATCGAGGGTTTATATGGAGACGAGGGAGGAATGAAGGTTTGGGGTTGTTGCCTCTGAATGCAAATAAGGACAAAAAGTAGGGTGGGGGGGCTTTTAGAGGGAGTGCCGCCTGTTACCTTTTTTCCTTCTTTTGGCTGGCGCACGACACCTCGCTCTTTAACCCCCCTCCGACACCCAGGTTTCTATTTTCGGAAAGCGAGAGGTCTTTTTTTTTTTTTTTTTTTTGTGGGTGTGGGGGTGTTGGGGGGGCTTGGGGCTTTTGGGTTTGAAACTGAGCTGAGGGGAGTGAGAGGGTTGAGCGCGCTCAGCGAAGAACCCGGGATAAATTAAAGGGTTTGACTGGTTGGGTCCACTTTGGGGATTGGGACCTGAATCTACTTGCTGGTGTGGGCCTGTGAAGATCTTTGGGGTCAAATGGTTTTATAATGGATTCTAATCATTGGGAATAATTGATGGCTCTAGGTCTTATTTAATTAACTGCGTTTGGCAATGTATTGTGTGTTCTTCGCTGCTCGTGCAATTTTTCATATTCTTAACTCGTCATACCTGTTGGGGAAGTAATCCTCGAGATGTCCATCGTATATTTGTTAATGTCTATCAGTACAATCATTATTATTTATTTGGTGTGGTTTTGTGGTTGCGTGGTTAGCGAATGATCTGATATGTGTGCCTTTACGATGATGATAGTTACACTGATATGTTGGATCTCGCTCTTTTCTTTCTTCATATACGATATAAAAATATAGAGAGTTTGCTACATGATTTTCTTTTCTTGAAATAATGAGCTTGATTAAAGTTGACGGACTCATTGTTAATATATGGTATACGAGGCCAAGTTTCAATGCCTTCTGTCGTCGTCTAAAACTAGCTCGCCAATTGCACCCTGCAAACAAGGTAATCAGCACTAGTGTCGTGAAATCTACTCTTCATATCACCGTCAATGCAGTGAGAAGAAGGCATTACCATAAAAAGATAGTCTGTATCCGCCTCCCCAATCATAGTTCACAATAATCAATCATATCATGCTCAACGGGTGATACTTTCTCTTAAGGGCTTGATTAGTTGGTTGGTAAAAAAATATTAAGAAACCAAATTATGAGAAACCTATTTCTTGTAAGGCGATGTATGGTTGGATGGAAAGAGAGTTTCAAAAAAAATAGAGCAACCGGCTTCGTAAATAATTTGTTTAGTTTAAAACTTTGTAATTAGGAAAGGAAAATGAACTTACATTTTATAGGGAGGGGGGGGGCTTGCAACAAATGCTACGGCCAATTTGGCGGGAGCAAAATTTACAAGCAAGCTTCAAAATGAGAAAAAATAATAATAATTCCACCTTAAATCAATTTAAATACAAATAGAAAAACATCTAAACCCAAGTTTCTTTATATGGAGAGACTGTAGATTTTGCATTAATTGTTTTTCAACCAAGTATTGACTTTGAACTGAAAATACATATCCTGCAAATACCCAAACAACAAGTTTGAAGTATATTTCCTGTAACAAAAACTGCATGCAACATGTATTGATACAACATTTGTTACTGTAACGCATTCTGCAATTTATTTTTGCACAAAACAAACAACCCCTAAATTTTGCTTTTCTTTTGTTTGGTCACCACTTTGAAATCAAGTGAGAGGGTGAGGTGGCACCCTCTCATTGGTTAATTTGACTCCATTTTTAGAAAACCCGTCGAAGATTTTTGTAAGGAACCCACTTATAGAAACCCTATTTTGATGGTTTTCTAATGATGTTTTGACAATATTTGGGAAAGAATATATATATATATATATATATATATATATATATAGAGAGAGAGAGAGAGAAGAGAGAGAAATATGAGTATGCTTGGTACGCAAGCACAAATTTGGTGGCTGTGTAAGTGAGGTGTCACTTTTCGCCATTCATCATATACAATTTCAACCAACTCCGCAACTCATGTGAGTGTGGGGGGGGGCCCCAATTTTAAATGAGTGGATGAGAAAGTGACAACTTCACTCCAAACACCATTTTTTATACTTGGTACCAAGCATACCTAATATTCTCATATATATATATATATAATATTATATATATATATATATATATATATATATATATATATATAGTATATATATATATATATATATAATAATATATATATATATATATATAGAGAGAGAGAGAGAGAGAGAGAGAGAGAGAAAGAAAGAGAGAAAGAAAGAGAGAGAGAGAGAGAGAGAGAGAAATATGGGTATGCTTGGTGCCAAGCACAAATTTTGTGCTTGGTAGTGAGGTGGCACAATCCTCTCCACTTATTCAAATGAGAGACCACATTCACATGGATTGAGAAGTGTATGGGGATATGCAACCATTTGAATGAGTTGAGAGGATTATGTCACCTCACTACCAAGTACAACTTTTTGTGCTTGGTGAATGTACCCTAGAGGGGGGTGAATAGGGTTATTGCTAATCTTATTAGATATTAATGACGATTAAAACTTTCTTGATTAATTAATTCTTGCAAAGGATATATGAGTGAGTTATGAGTAATAATATAAATTACAAGCACAACATAAATGTACACAAAGCAAACTCAAACACAAGATATGTTCATGAAGTTCGGTTCCCACGACCTACGTCTCTGCTCCTCACCTCGAGGAGGTCTCCACTATCTCGACACGCCCGGTTTGGAAGCCGGAACTTCTCTACACATTCGATTTTCTAGCTCACCGAAAACTCTTTAAGTCTCTCACAATGTACATACACAAACTACAACCTCAAGTGTTGGTCCTCACGTTTCGCCTCCCTCAAGTGCTTGGTTTTACAACCTCTCTCTAGGCTTTACTACCGACGTCACTCCTTTTGGTAGCGACTAAGTTCTCACTACACACTCCTCTTGGTGTAAATATGTATTACAAGGTGAACTCTCACAATAAGGCTCAAATACAAGATTTTGTTCTCTACAATAGGTGAGAACACAATTTAAGCTCACTCTCAAGGTTACACTCATCACAACCCAAAATTATACAATAATTGAAAATAGTTAAGCTCAAAGGTTGTGTGTGCAAGCAATGAGAAAATAAAATCAAACTCAATTAAAGTCTAGTAAATATGAATATAACAATTAAAACATAAACAAGCTAGAGATATGAGTTGAGAAAACTTATCTAGAATAAGAGAGATGGAGATGTGAAATAGAAAGCTCAAACCAAAGATGATCTCCTCTTCTTGTGAAACAAACTTCACAACACCAATTTTGTAAACACTTAAACAAACTTAAACCGCCCTTAAAACTTGTTTTTAAACTCTTTTTTCTCAGTTCAGAGTGAAATAGAATGGGGTATATATAGGATGAAGAAACAAAGCTCAAAACCCAAGTGAAACCCAGCAAAAAGACAAACAAACGGAAACTAGAAAAATAGCTGTTACAGGCTTTCAGTCGACTGACGGGTTTCATCAGTCGACTGATGAGCTGACCGTTGTAGGCATTTTCCAGCTCATCAGTCGACTGACGTCCTTTATCTGGTCAGTCGATCAAAACAAAACAGAAACTTTTAAAGATTGCAGGCACATTCTTTAGTCAACTGATCAGTCGACTGATGTCATCAGTCGACTGACCAGTCGACTGATAACAGGTTATCAACCTGAATTGAATAATAAAAATAAAATTCAAACCTCTTTTAAGAATATCAAATAAATTCAGAAAAATATAAAACTTTAGGAAATGATTGTAAACAAGATAATGAACATGCTATAAAAAGAATTTTTTAATTTGTATTTCCCATTTCTAAAATCTCATCATTTTGTAAAATCACATAAGTATGAACATGTTGAAAACTTGATTTTGCTAAAATAACTTAAACAAAACTTTGAAACACTTTAGAATGGATTTATAGACTTATACAAGATATGAAAATAATATAAGTAAGTCTTCAATGTTAGACCATAGAGGGGGTGATTAGGGTTTTGTGCTAATCTAATCCGATTTTATGCCAATTAAAACTTATTAATAAATTATTCTTGTAAGATAGATATACAATATGTTATGAGCAAGAATAAGCAATATGAACAAAGGTAAATATCCTAGCAATGAGATATACTATGAGATATATGCGAGGATATATAAATAACACAAAGGTAAATAATCTAAATTAGATAGTGGGCAATATAAGCAATAAGCAATATACAAATGCGATATAAGATATGAACATAAAAACAAGTGCGTCAATACAATCACAAACAAAAGATATATTCACGGAGTTCGGTCCCCATGACCTACGTCTCCGCTCCTCACCTCAAGGAGATCTCCACTATCACAACTGAGTTTTCTATGCTCACCCAAATAATGTTTACACCTCACACTCGGTTTTCTAGTTCACCAAAAACTTTTTAATCTCACACTCTTGCAAATCTCACTTTACACCCTCTCAAGTGTTGGTCTCTAGTCTGTGTCTCCCTCAAGTGTTAGGAATTACAACCTCTCTCTAGGTATTGTTATCTACCCCACTCCCTTTAGGATGACCCCGTCTCTCACCACACACTTCTCTCGATGTACAAGTATATTACAATGTGATCTACATAATTAGGCACAAATATGACTTTGGTTGTTCTCTATAATGGACGAGAACTCAATTAATCTCACTCTCAATTGATACAACTCCTCACAACCCAATTATACAATGTATGCAAATACAATAAGCTCAATGGTTGTGTGTGTAAGCAACGAGAAAATTAATTATAAACTCAATGTAAACCCCTAGCTTGATGAAAATGATAAACAACAAATAATTAATACAAAGCTAGTATTGAGTTTAGAAATTCTTCTCTGAAAAGCAAGATGGAGAGATGGATTAAATGGAGCTCAAACAATGTAGATGATCTCCTCCACTTGTGAAAGCTTCTTCACAAACCAAACAAACTTTAAACCAAACTTAAATACACTTAAACATCCTTTAAAAACTTGTTTAAACTTTTCGTGGGATATTTAGAACTAAGAATATGTGGGGGTATTTATAGGAACCCCAAAGCCAAGAGAAAATCAGGCAAAAAGACCAAAAACCCAAAAACCCAAAAACAATACAATCTGGAAATATAGCCGTTACAGTGTTATGAGTCGACTCATAAGTAGCCGTTATAGGCTAAAAACCAACTTATTGGTCGACTCATAAAAATCATGAGTCAACTCATAAACCATGGGTCGACTCATAAGATCATGAGTCGACTCAT